TTTTATTTTTACAGTTTTTTGTATTTGAAACATTATTTATTTATTTATTTTATGCCCACAATTTAATTTATTGAATTGTCTATTTTTGTTATTGTTTATGTTAAAAATACATATATTTTAGTTGATAAGCCTGAGTTGTCTGTTGACTGACCTTTGTATTTGTTCAAATAATTGTTGTGGGCAGGTTACAATATAAAAATGTTTGTCATAATCATGTGATTATATGACAGGAGTCTTACTTTTAAAATGTAAGTGTATTTTATTTACCGTAGTTATAACGTAAATACAATAAAAATTAAACCAAGATTTAGAATAATTATCATTTTGATCCATACATTGATAATGTCTGACTGGGCCTCGTGTCACTTTATGTTCATTATATTTGGCCCTGTGGTCAAAAAGGTTAAGAACCCCTGAGCTAGACAGCTGAGGTACTGATTTATATGGAAACTGGCCATCCTGATCTTTTGAGTAACTTTCTAGTTTTTATATTGCTTGAAATTATAGTTTCTTCAAATGATTGGGGTGGCCAAAAATTAATCTTATGTTAGCCAAGGCCCCCATTGGCCACCTCTCAGCTCCACCTCTGCACCTGGTGGTGGATAAAAATGTCTCTGCACTGCATCGGACAAGAAAACACCTACCTCTCTTCTAATACACGCTGTAACGTCTACCCATTTGAAAATCTCTTGCATTTCCTGTTTTATTTCTTGTCCAGAAAACTATAAACAAATATTTATTATTCAAATCCTTCAGCGACAGGTGACATCGGCATACCGCTTGTTTTGTTTAGATTTCCTGCTCTGCAGAATCTTAGACTCCGTTTTAAATCAAAAGTCTTGCTTTTCCTGTTTTCTTTGACGGCCTCATGAGTAGAAGCCTATGAATTGGGACAGTGACGTAAGCCGCCGACAGATGCGCCCAGCGTCGGCTGCAACCCATGAATTAACACAACCCTTTATCATTTAGCTGTGGTGGCCATCTTGAGTCGAGCTGACTCCGAAAGTTAATAAATTGTAGATGAATGTAGATATGTTCTAAGAGTTTGTTTTCAATCATTCCTTGGTTGATTGATTTTACACAAAAACTAGCTAGAACCAGACACTGAGCTCATATTTGATCCGCTGGTAACTAAAAGTCATCCCCAACACATACACTGAGCTCTAACTGAGCATTTTAGACGTGAGATTGTGCAAAACTGTGTTTTTAAGATTTAAATAAAAAGGCATGAAGTCTATATTTCGGCATTAGATGATTGTTGTTCAAAGTTCTGTCGTGAAAGGCTGTTGATTATTTATGACCCCCGCATGCGAAGCGTAAGCGGGAGTCATACTGTTTTCGTACTGATTTTTTTTCCAGTGATTTTTTGGTCAACCGTAGCACAAAAATGGCTGCACCAAACAACATGAAATTTGGCAGGACTGTAGATGAGTCTGACCTACACTGCACCAGCCAACGGTTTTACGATAGACCCCATATTTGAGGAGGGGGCTCCTTTCAAAGTGGGGGTGTCTGGACATGCAAAAATGCTTATAACTCAGAAACTGTTCAATATAGGAGCTTCAGATTTCTATTATTTAGCTCTGATGAAGCTCTATCCATCAGGCCCACCAATCAGTGTTAACCATAAACTTAAATATAATTAAATAAAAAGAGTTCCAAAACTTTCGGCACGTTTTAGCAAATGCTCGGCTCTTCTTGCTGATGTGTGATTCTAGTTGTTGTTTTTGTTTTTACCTTCCAGAGATGTGTCGTCAGTGGAGCTGCTGATGAACAACCACCAGGGCATCAAGGCAGAGATTGACGCTCGTAACGACAGCTTCACTGTCTGCATCGAGCTGGGGAAAGCACTGCTGGCCCGGAAACACTACGCTTCAGAGGAGGTGCAGGCAGAAAATCTGCAAGCTCGTGAAAACTGTAGAATTAAAGTGCCTGTGACATCAAATTATTGTGATGCATGTGATTGCAGTTTTGGAAAGATAACATGGATAACATATTGCAAAATCAATTTCACACCACTGAGATGAACAGTTGTTGAGATACTTGTTTGTGAAGTAACAGGAAGTGATGTCAAAGGGGAATGTCTGCATGTAAACAGAGCATCGCTACAACTGCTAACAACACAGACAGCAGGGACTTTTCTGATGTTTCTTTAGATAATTTTAGTCCCTATAAGAGAGAGATGAAGAAGAGTCAGAGTTCAAATAATATTGTTTTAAGAAACAAAGATCAGGGAGTTTTCTTTCTTAAAGAGTTCCCCTTTGATGTCACTTCCTGTTTCACTTTAAAAGAGCCAAATTCAAAAGAAAACATGCCAATTATGTGACAAAAATGGGTACAATCGTGTTTTATGACAATTTTCCTAAGTATGAATATATTTTCTTTGACTTTTTGTATTTGAAGGATAGGCATGTCACAGGCACGTTAAGTTTTTAATGTTAGAAGTTATTGATATTTGGCTCAAACCAAACAAACTCTGTCCACATCTTTTATTTTAAACACACAACAGGCCCCATTTTTCTTCTGTTTCGACAGTCAAAACATCAACATTTATTAGAGGAGACATTAAAACTGACTTACAGTAAAGATCCAGTTGGCTCAAATTTAAAACTGACACTGAATCAGAACTGAAACTTTGATTAAAAATGTGTTTCTGCTAATATTTTTCTCTGAATGTCTACATGAAAACATTTGTAATTCAGGTTTTTTTCTCCACAGATTAAAGAAAAGTTGTTACAGTTGACAGACAAGAGGAAAGAGATGATTGACAAGTGGGAGAACAGATGGGAGTGGCTTCGACTGGGTGAGAAGTCCTTCTGAGCCGTCACTCTGGGTTGTCAGGCTTCTCCTGTGAAACACGTGGTCTGATGTGTTGTTGTGATCCCAGTCTTGGAGGTGCACCAGTTCTCCCGTGACGCGGGCGTGGCCGAGGCGTGGCTTCTGGGTCAGGAGCCGTACCTGTCCAGCAGGGAAATCGGGCAGAACGTGGACGAGGTGGAGAAGCTCATCAAACGCCACGAGGCCTTCGAGAAGTCGGCCGCCACTTGGGAGGAGCGCTTCTCTGCGCTGGAGCGGCTGACCACGGTGAGGAGAGGCCCGGAGCTCAGGCGTCAGAGCAGACGGGCAGAACGTTTGACTGTTTCTCTGTGTCCAGATGGAGTTGCTGGAAGTGAGAAGAAGGCAAGAGGAGGAAGAGAGAAAGAGGCAACCAGCAGAGGCTGCTGACGCTGCAGCTCAGCACAGGTGAGGGAGTGTCATGGTCTGAGATAATCAGCTTACCTGGGGGGTTAACCTGGAAAATTATATAATAATCCTCAAGAACTTAAAAATCTCATCTGTGTTGAGTTTTGTCTTAAAAATATCTAACAATTTTAAAAGTGTTATTCTAATCATTGTTTTTATTATCCACTATTGGGTTTTTTTAACCCAGTATTTGTTTGCTTACTTATTTCATTTCTTATTTCTGTTGTTTGTTTCACAAAACCCAAACAAGAATTAATTTGTTCTGTTAATTATTCCATTTAGTTTGTTTCAAAAACTTAAAAATAGTCTTCAGGCATATGAAAGATTAAAATAAAGATCAGCCAGTGGCCAAAACATTGTGTTGATGATAATAATATAACTTTTTTAAAAGGTTTATTTTAACAGCTGCTTGTGAAAAAACATTAGAAACAGACATGGCCTTGATTTAAGTTGCTTCTGAATCTGAAAATTTATCATTACCTAATTTCCCTCTGGGATCAATAAAGTATTTTTGAATTGAATTGAATTGAATTAAATCTCAGTCAGGAAAATAATGGTGCTTTGTCTATTGTTTATTACCTTTCAGTTAATAGCAGTGGTGAGCACAGCTAACCAAAATATTTGCTTCACTAACTTATAATCCACTAACTAAAAATGTAGCTTTGCTAATGTTAAACTGCTAAACTTGTTAAAAAAAAGATTTGTGGAAGCTAACTTTAAAAACCTAAACAAGTCAAAAATTAGCAGACGCTAATCGCTAATAGACAGTCTGTGTCCCACGTCTTTGTCTTTTTTGAGCTGAAGACTAATGGACTGACACTAACCTGTTGATGATGCAACATTGTACTTTTCGTAACTCTTCTATTGTTTACAATAAAAAAATGTTAGTGGACTCAAAGTTAGAAAAACTAATTTAGTGGAAGCTAACAGGTCTGCTAACGGTTTTCAACATTGGTGAAAAAGCTAATAAGCTAAATGAGAAATTAGTTGAGCTGTTAGCTGATTACCATGGCCATGCCCACCATTAATTAATACTGTTATCACAATTAGTTGCTTAAGTAAACAGTTTGGTTTCTAAATTGTCAGAGAATTACAGAAATTAGAAGTCAAATTTTTCTCAATAAACCTAATTTTTGAACAGAGTTGAATCTACAGTGTGATCAAAAACCAAAAACCTTCATGTTAACAGGTTTAAATCAGCAACATCACACCGTTGCTTTATCTAAAAACATTTAAACCAACCAGTAGCCTGACCAACCTCTGCTACAGCCAAATAAATTCATCATGAGTGTTTGCAGTAAAGGAGAACATAGTAATGTACCTGCAGGGATTATTTTGGCAGAACAAAGACGAAGCAGTGATCTAATGTTTGTACCTGTTTTGTTTTTCCCCCACAGAGAGGGCGAGCCTGTGTCCCAGAACGGGCTGCCATCTGAGCAGGAGTCTCCCAGGGTTAGTTACCGCTCACCTGCCTATCAGATATACAGCAGCACCCTGCAGGGCCGCAGAGCTGCCCCTGCTCCCTGATGTCGCAGCACAAACACACAAAACATGACCTAAATACACACATGACCAATCACACACATAAATATCTTCCTTGTATCAACACTAAAAATATTTTGTCTTTGTCTCCTGCTTTGTTTGCACTTAACTACTTTTAGAAATGTAACTAATTTAACTTGAAATGTGTCAGCGGGACCACTCTTTTATTAAAAGTCTTTTAAGCTGAAAATCAACAGGAAGCAGTGGGATTGACTCTTAGAGCTGATTATTCTCCCTGAATGTTTCCTTTAAGGGCTGATTATCAAGAAGAGTGTTGCAGAACTGATTCTTACATTCAGGCTGTAGTAGAAGTCAGATGTAGCTGTTTCTAAACAGTTTATTACTTTTAATTTTTCATCCAGCTATTGCTTTCAGTAACGCTGGCCATAATTATCTAAGACATCTGGGTGATAAGTTGACAGATTCACAAAGAAAGACTGCAACTGAAAATAAGTTTAAATTTGAAAGATGCATTTCTGTGTGGTCCTTTTACATTTGGAATTTTTTTTTGTTTGATCTTCATCATATGAAACCTGTTTAAAAGCTCTACCAATCAAGAACTTGCATTCGGCATTGAAGTTTCTAAACTCTAACATGTGAAGCTGCAGGACAGACTTAAGTCCTATTTTTTTATTTTATTTCTCACTGACTTCAAGCAACATTCAATCAAAACATTACAAAATCCATGTTATTCCTACACTTCTTTGATATTTCTTTTTTAGTAATTTATTGAAATAATTAGGAAGTAGACTAAGAAATGTTTAAGGTGCTCTAAAACAATTATTTGTACAACAATGAAAGCAGAAATTGTGTGAACTAAAAGCCATGTTTGTTTTGTGTGAGTGGAATTGCCTGAAAATGAGTTTGGGACCACATATATACATAAATACACCAAAAAATGATGTTTTTATCCTAGGTTCCCCTCATTCTTTCCTTTTCCCTTCTTTCTTTTGTCTCTCTCAGCTCGACCCACCTGTTGTTATCTCCCCTCAGCTTTTAATGTGTCTTGTTCTTTACGTTATCATTTACAAACTCACCCTCTGGAATATGAACACATGAATCCCAGGACCCTAAAGTCAGATGTATTAAAAGTGCATTTTTTTAGAATCAGTTTTTAATGTAAATCATGGCGTCATCGGCATATCGAGAAATATTGGAAAACACAATTTACAAAAACACAAATATAATTAGCTTATTAATATTCATTAAAGCATTCTGACTAATGGTGTTCAGATAAATAATGTCTTACTTTTGTTGTCTTAAATCAAATGAAATAAAGTGCCTTTAGTTTAATCATTTACCTGATTGTTCTTTTCTGTTTTGACAGAGTAACGTTTAATCCAATAGGAAAAAAATATTTGTTTTGCACATTTTATTTTTAAAATAAATAATAAAAATATTCCATTTCTTCCTTACATTCATCATTTTCATACCTCCCATCACACATTTCATGTCAGTTATTATTTTACTAATATGCTTTAAAATACTGTATGTTTTACTATATTAAATCCATATAAAATGATTCAAATATGATTTTCTTTAAGGTTAAAATCAATTTAGTCCTTTTGTCTTCTGGGAACACAAAAATTCCATGCAGCTTACATCAGGGAATCATTTAAATTAAGTTCATTCATCACGTTGAGTGATCCTTTTAATTTACTGTGCTACTGAGTGACTGGTGGTAAAACTGTTCTCATGCTCAGAAAAAGTCTGGACAAATCACCTGGGGCCTCATGCATAAAGGATTGCGCAGCTTTCACACTAAAAGTTGGCGTACGGACAAATTTAGAAAAGTGCGCTGCACCAAAATATTCAGATGTATAAATCCATGCATACGCAGGTTCCTGTGCACCTTTCCTTTATACATCCCAATGAACGTGGAACTGAGCGCACCTGAGACACCTCCCCTGACACACCTCCATTTAAATCTGTAAAATAGATGTAAATGTGTCCAGCGTGTGAGATTCTCCTCAGATTGTCCTCTCTATGGGATCAGAAATGATTTTTAGATGCAGGAAAAATATAAATTAAATGGAGAATGAGTGAGAAAACTGTCTAAATAAGGAGTGGGGTGACATTGTTTTATGTTTCGCATTCTCACAGGATAACCAAAGCCTGAGATTTTCCTGAAATTTACAGACATCTCCCAAATGTGATATTGAAGTCTGGTTAGTTGTTGTCTGTTTAGTTGAACACGGCGTTGATCGGACGTTAAAAAACAAACAATAAAAAAAATAAACATTACGTTATCCACTTTTTCTACTCTCCTTTCCTCCTGCGTTACAGCAGGCGCTGTCATCTCCACGTACAGACCCCCACCCCACCCCCACGAGCAGGTACGAGTGGTAGCCTACGGATTTTTAGCAAAAAATATAGATTTTTGAGGCTCATCAGACAGGTAAACATCCAAAGGGTTGACACATATGAACAGCTTCCCAGCTGGCGAGGGTGCGTGCGCCTGGCACTAGAATCTACCCAAAGCACAGATGCTGCGCTACGGCCACAACTCAACTCAGCATCAGCCAGAAGGTTACACACAGAAAAAACAATTATTCTTACCGTACACTGAGCCACCATTTGCATCCAATTTTGCTCCCTCTCTTCAGCCTTTTTTATTTTTATTTTTTTATGCCACACGTAATGTGTCGGGTTTTTCCAGCCTAGAACACAAAAGGTTTTCAACTATGTGACAAAAATATGAAAACAGTTTACAGACTGGACTGAGGTTCTTTGATCATTTTTAGACTGATCTATTTTCTTGTCTGAGGTTAAATGATTTTCAGTCCCAGGGTTCAGTTTCATGATCGTTTGAGTTTAAACAATAAAAACTCAAACTAAAATAAAATCTAACAGCGTGTTCAGACGCTCCTTACATCCAGAAAACACAACAAAGTCATATTTCTGTGGATTCAGGTCAGATTCGTGACTTTGTGAGTTAAAACTGTCGGCTGAAAAACTTTGCGTGGTTGGTTTTAATACATCACAACATGGGCGTAGAACCTGGCGCACACAACTTTATGTGTACGCACCGTTTATATATGAGGCCCCTGATACATGAACCAAACCTGTCATTTGGTTCATGTTAAGGTTTACAAATCCTACAGGGTTAACTCGTTATGTAGAGTTAAAGTTTGTGCACATGTAGTTATATTTTTACGTCCATCATCATCGCTGATCATTCTTTAAACCCAGTCCACTAAGACCCACATGTCCCTCAGTATGAGTGTGTGTGCGCGCTTGTTTCACTTCTTATTGTACTTAGTTGTGGTTTTGTGTTGCTGCAGCACTGTTTTAAGTTGTTTTCATGGTATATTGTAATAATTTCTTTATTTGTGTTCATGCATGTTGATCCCTGACTAACACACATTCCCCAATAAACCCAGTCAGAATCAGCATCCACTGGAATCTGTCCTGGTTTGTCCCCGTGTGTGTTTTTATCCATGTTTAGTTCTGGTTCTGTTTACTGTCTCCATCAGCAGTGTTTCAGTTAAGTTTTCTGTCTCTATTTCATTTCTTCATCTCATGTTCTTCAACAGTTTTTAACCCCTGGGGCTCCAGTTTATTCAGTTTGTTTCAAAAAAATTGACAAAGAACGCTTAAAGTAATGTGCAAGAAATTATATTTTCTGTTAGATCAGATCTTTATTTCACCTACAAATTTTAGAACAGTGTATTTAATACTAGGTTTTACAAGTTTTTCTCTTTAAAATGTTTTGTCTATGTACAGATTTAGTCTAACTGCTAGCTATTTTCTCCACACTAAAAACTGCTGGGTTATAAACGACCTCATCTGTAACCCAGTGCTGGATCCAATTCAGATTGAGCTAACTCAGGGTAGTTTTAACTGGGCAGGGTTAGGTTATCAGTTTAATCCAGAATAGCGTACTGGGTTAACTCAAAAACTGGGATTAAATGACTAGTTTGTAAAGAACCTTCTAAAAAGTCTATTTTAAAAGAACAACCCAAAATATGCCTGATAAAACAATTACAACTTTGGTTGGAGCTAGATAGCTGGCGTTATTAGCTTCATTTAGCTAGCACCACTCAATGCTCTATTAGGAAGTGTAAACAAAAGTAAAGAAAACCAGACGGAACATCTTACAGCTAGTTTTTAGTTTATCTTCTGAAACAGAGGTCTAATCATGTCCAGTTTTGTTAATTTCTGGCTTAAAAAGGTGGAATGTGAAGTTTTACAGTCAAACCAACCCAACCAAAAACCCAACTCCTTTAATCTAAAAATGAGCTATCAAGATAGCCCAGCAATTTTTATTCTTTAAATTGTTTGCAAGTAGAAATCCTTAAACCTGGTTCAGTTTATTGTCAAGCTTAAGAAGTTTCCAGCTAACAGACAACAACAGTTATAGTTATTCAAAAGAAAATCAGTGAACCTATAATCTTTCTGACCTCAGATAAGGAGTCTCCGCTTGTTCAGTGGTTCTTTCACACTTGGTCATTTCTGAAGTTTGACGGATTAGCTTCAAAGTAAAGGTTTTTATAGTTTGGTCCAAACTTTGAGTCTAAATCTTAATCAGTAAACGAACACCTCTGAAAATTAAACTGGGTAAAATAAATCAAAAGAAAAGACCAAATCTCAAGGTTTTGTTGAGGCTTAGTGGAGCCATCGACGCTTCAGATAAACATCAGCGATTGGTTGAAGTAAAAGTTCCGAGGATTGGTCCAGTTCTCTTTAATGCTCCCAGGATCCCTCTGGCATCTGATCGGTTCTCAAACACAGCGTCCATCATTCATCTACCCCCCCGCGAGGAGCTCTGTGAGCGGGTAATAAGCATCCGTTTGGAGTGGTGTGAAAAATAAAATTCAATCGCAGTCTCCCCTCTCACAAATAATGACTTCCAAGCAATTTGACAATTAATTGTTTGAGATCTTTTATTTTCTGTGCTCTGCTGGCTTCATCTTTCTTCACCCTTTTTATCATGTGGTGTGATATGAAAGTGTTCTGATTCTGCATGGTCTAAATTGTGTGATCTGTGCATGATGTGTAATGTTAGTATATAAAACAAATATTTTTATAATCAGTGCTAAAATAATGAGATACTTAAAGAAAATAAGTTTAAATCTGTTTAAACAGGCTGGAGTTCAGTGTGTGAAGCTGGTTTGATGGGAGGAGCTGAAGCTACTGAGTCTTGGTTAGTTTAGAGGTTTGAGCTTTTGTTTCCCTGATAATTATAAATTGTAAATTCATAAATATGTTTTCTTAGCTCACCGGGATGTCATTTGCAGGGGCACCACCAAGTGTTATTTTTTAGTAGTATTTCAGCTAAATTGCTAACTCCCACAGTTAATGCTAACAACTCAGAGGCCAGACATTGGGTGTGGTGTTGCCCAATCATGATAGGGGAAATGTTGCATAATGTAAAAGAACAAATATTGTCTTTTTCCCTTTTAAATGTGTTTATTTTGATGCATTAAATCATAAATTTAAAGTTGATTTATAATATATTTTTATATTCAACAAAGTAAAAGCAAAAGATGTTTAGTTTTTTTTTTTCCAAATGAATTCAGTGGCGTATTGGTTGTATGTGACAAATGAATAGCCTGCATTACAATACATTATTATAAAAAATGTTGATGACTTGACCAAGAAAACAGTTTAGAATTTAGTGAATCTTTAAAAAAATGTAATAATTACCAATAAGAAAATTAAATTAGTACTGGTAATTGAAGTTCAAGACAAAAACTGAAGAACCAGTTGGTTGAAGTGGATCCACTGGGGTACACTACATCCTAAATATAAGAAAGGACTAGTCTTTTGTTAGTTTTCTTACAGCAAATGTTTTGTAATTAAATCTCAATAAAATAAAAAGCAGAACTTCATTAGAGGAGGTAGACTTGTTGGACTTTCTTGTTTCAGTTTGTTTGAAGAAGGTTTTCAGGTTGATTGGATTAGGAGGAACCAGTCTTCTGAGTTCTGGTTAGGTTAAGGGGTTTTAAAGTCCGCTCTCAGCCTGTGATGTTTCTCTGCTATGCATGCTGCAGCTCTGATAACCGATTCAAAGCATCTGACTGTCTAAAACAAACACCACCCATCCAACCTCAGTCCTCTAACTCCGCTCTGCTCTGATCGCAGGAGGCCGTGGACGGGTCCGACGTGGTGAACGGGGTGTCAGAGCCCAGTCCATCAGGGTCTCCTGGGGCGTCACGTAAAGCCAAGCCCAGCCAGGCAGCGACCCTGCCGGCTAAAACCCAACAGGACGCCCCGACGTCTCTGCTGGAGAGCTTCCTGCACCGCAAGCATGAGTGGGAGGGCCACAACAAGAAGGCTTCCAACAGGTACGAGTCAAACCTCTGCTAACAAATGGTTTGACTTCAGAGTTATGTTAGCAGTGAACAGCTGCAGGACAAAGAGCTGAATAAAAGCATAACCAACCGGTGCTAATGTTCACTGGTTCTTGGTGTTTCTCTGCAGGTCGTGGCACAACGTGTACTGTGTGATCAACCACCAGGAGATGGGCTTCTACAAGGATCAGAAGAGCGCCAGTCAGGGCATCCCCTACCACAGCGAGATCCCTGTCAGCCTGAAGGACGCTGTGTGTGAGGTGGCTGTGGATTACAAGAAGAAGAAGCACGTCTTTAAGCTCAAGTGGGTTTCAGGACCAAGAAAATACTTTGTGTTTGTCTGCAGGTGCATGATGCTCTTAATACACAGGGGTATCTGTGTGATGAAACTTTACAGTCAACTGTAAAGTTTTTTTTTTCACACGAGTTCAACTAAACAACTGTGGCAATCTATCAAGCACCACTAAGCTAACGTTAGCTGCCATTAGCTTACCATCCTCTGTTGTCTTGTCCTTTGTTTTCTGCGTCACACAGCTGGAGGGTCAGGTACAGAGTTTGATGTTGTGACACAAATAAAAGGAAATAAAATGTGCGCGTTGCACCACCAGATACTGTATCTACAGCTGTACAGTGAAACCCTTGATTTTCGCAGGGGTTACACCCTTAGAGTACCCACTAATTGTAAAAAAAAAAGTGCAAATGTTGGACCCAGTCCAAAAAAGTCTTTATAAATGCAGATTTTTAGAGCTTAAACTCTAAATATACTCCCAATACATAAAATAAACTGCATAAATTAAATCAAGAAAATACATTAAAATGTAGGAGTACTCACAAAAATAAATGCAAAAAAAAAGTAAATCCAGTAATTTGACCTTCTCCTGGAGCTTCTTAAAAACCTTTGTGCACTTCATTTCATTGGAAGAAGTCTTAAAAGGTGCAGCGTGTTTGGGTGGCATCTTATTGTGGTAAGAAGCAAAGAAAAAAGTCAAGAAGTAAACAGTTAGCAGGTACACGCAGTACTGTAACAGTAAACTGTTAAATAACAGAAGTGATGTACTCCAGCTGGAACATGGTCACAGCTGAACTGTTCATGTTATGTTTTTTATTTGAAACTGAATTGACATTCACTTTTATGTTATAAAATTAGTAAAACATATTGTTAAAAATTTAGTTTGAAAACTGAAAAAAGCACACGGAAAAAAAATAGCTATGTTCCTTACTGTACACGCTGTTTTTACTGTATTTCTGGTTCCATGGAGAAATCCACTAAAGACTGAGACTGCAAACTGGGAAAGGTGATTTTGCAGAGGTTCACTGTAAATAGTTAATTACTGTATGATCTCATTTAACTTCTCTGAAACAGTGGATTAATGTTTAGCACTGATGCCTTTCAGCAAGACATTCTGACCTGACCTGAGGTCAGAGAGACTCCACTGTGTGATGGAGGGACAGACTCCTGAATGATGTCCGCTAACCTGACACAGATGGACAGGAGCTCTCCAGCTGAAATCGAGTGCTTTAAATGTTTTTTTTTTTTTTTTTGGATGGCCTCCCTTCTCCCCTTATAGCCATCCTGTCCACACCATTATGTTTTTTTTGTGAAGAGAAAATAGAGAGAGAGAAAAACAGAAAGAGAAGTAATTAGAAAGATAGAAAGACTGAAATAGCGATTAGGAGTATATTAAATATACACCAACAAAACACAGGACCACACACCCAACATCTGTCCGCTCACCTGAAAAATAAATGAATAAATACATAGAGTGCATATATAAGAATACACACATACTCATACATATATAAAGATATACATACATACATGCCTACATTCATAAATATTGTCAGTATATACCCATAGACATATATACACACTCAGTGACCAGTCAGAACCCCCCGGATCAGATCACCTGTTTGTGAGCGGTTGTGAACATGCGTGTACATACAAGATTTCTCCAATGGAATATTTAATAGTGACTGTGGAGGACCGAGACCCAACCCCCAAGACATGAGGTAGACATAGGGAAGACCAGAGCCCAAGGGCCTGAGAGGAATCCCGAGCGCAGAGCCCCAAGGGGCACCCGCACAGGAAGATCCGCCCACCCACCCCCCAGACTAGACCATAGGAGAGAACTGGGAGAGTCCCCCCAGCGACCGCACGCACAGCCCCCGGAGCCAGCAGCGACAAACTCATGGGCCCCACCGGCACCCACCATACCAAAGCAGATCCAAGAAAGGGCACAGAGGTCCGGGCCCCCAGGGCCCCCCCCCCCAGGCCAATTTCCCCTCCACCACTACTCTAACCCAAAACCCTAAGTGTCTATATGCAAACCTTGGGGGGTGGGCACAGGCACAGGAGGCAAGAGTGCTTTAAATGTTGACCAACACCTCAAGAGCTTCTCTGAGCTTCATGAGTCATTTTCAAAATATAATATTGACCTAGTTTTATGGGTTTTTTTAGTGTTGCCTCTGGAAGCTGGATGCTGGAATTCTTTGCCATTTATTTGTAAATAATAAATCTGATAACGTGTAGCCTGAACTGTCTAATAACTAAAATACAAAGAGAACTTTTAAACTTCCTGTAAAAACTCACAAACATGTTTTTAATCTTCACAGGATCACAGACGGCAACGAGTATCTCTTCCAAGCCAAAGATGATGTAAGTATTTTTAAAAGCCAAATTTGTCGTGATCTTCTTGGTTTTGACCTTTTCATGTTTTTAACCTAAATGATTTTTAACTCCTTTTTTATTTCATTGCAGATTTTTTCTTTAAACTCTTCCATTTTTTATCATTCAGTATCAAATCAACGTTTGTTTATAT